TTCTGGTTATAACTGGTTGTGCATTTTCTTAAGAGCCTGCAAATGAAGCTCCAGCAGTTAGAATCAAATCGTGAACGTGAACTCGCTGATCATGGGAAAGTATTGGCGGAGATGCAATTAAGATTTGCCAAGGAACATCAGTCATTCGAAGCAGGTGCGAAAGAGGTGCATACTTTGACTTATTATGTTGCCACTACTTGCCATTCGCGTTAGATTCGTTCCAGAGTGCTGTTCTTTCCAAAAAAATTAGCCAAAAAGACGATGCTCTCAACCTGCTGAAGGCTCGTGAAGCTGAACTTGTTCGACAGGTATCTTCATTAAGCAAAGAGGTGAAGGAACTTACAGAGAAAGCTTATCACGTCCCTTCCATACAAATTCTCAAGGACGAAATGGCAAATCTGAGAGTTAGTTTTCCTTTATGGCAGAACTTTCGGTTTCGCATTATTCTCAGCTGTGCTGATCTACTTTCAATACCAAAATTAGCCTTTAGCTCATTTTTTTCCTCTTTCATAATAAAAGCTTTTCTTTTCATATGCACCCTTGTCTTGTCGTTTGCGAAATTTCTTATACCATCTTCATTTCTTTTTCTATTCAGAATGATCACGCTAGAGAATTACGGGACGCAGTAACCAAGGCAAAGCATTCAACGCAGCTGGAAGAGCAAGAAAAAGCTTCATTCAAAATTGCTGAACTTGAAGAGAAAACCATGAATCTTTTGGAAACAGTTGCCAGAAGTGAGGAAGCACGGAGCGAAGCGCGTGAGGCTTTACTCCATATAGAGAAGGAAAAATCTGCTCTTATTGAGGTGATTGTTCAGTTCGTATATATTTATTAATCCCCTTCCTTGTGTTTTCTTTTCTGCATCTTACATTGCAGGAGTTATCGGAACTACGAAAGCGCCTAAAGAACGAGGAGCTGAGTTCTGCTGAACGCGATGAAGTTGCCAGCGATGTCATAACAACTCTGAAATCGGCCATTGCAAAAATCCGCGAAAAGAATCCAGATTTTGATCTTCATTGTAAATCACTGATATATCCAGATTTTCACTAATAGAAGTTAGCTTTTTCTAGCTTTACTCGGGCCAGATCCGGAAAATAAGAAGCTGCAGCACGAGCTTCGAGCTCTGAGAGATGAATACAACCAATGCAGACAGCGTCTAGATATGCTTACTACCAGCAGTGCTGTGAGAGTCATTTTGAGTTTGCTTATCCGGATGATAAATTTTATTTGCTTTTCGATTTAGGAAACCATTCATGCTAGTAATTCGAAAGATGAAAATATTTGTCTTGTGGCGGAGCAATTCCAAAACAAGATTCGGAAGCTGATGGCTGTTCACGCTAAGGATCGGGCTGCTTATGAAAAGGTGAAATCTTTGCACTCATCACCATT